CGATTTTAGGTGGTGAAATATTAGACTCATCAATTTTAAAATATATTGAAAAAATTGGTGTTAGGGTAATTGATATATATGGTCAAAGTGAGTGTATTATTTTGTTAACCACACCATCTTTACAACTACCTAGCCGTCCAAAATCAGCAGGTGTTCCTACATCTGGACTTAATTTATATATTTTATCATTAGAAGATAAACAACCAATTACAAAACCATTTCAATTTGGTGAGATTGTAGTTAAACTGCCATTAACACCTTTTCATATTCAAGAATTATTATATGATGATGAAGATCGAACATTGTTAAATGAAAAATATTTAAAAAAATATCCAGGGTATTTCAATACTGGTGATTTAGGTTACTTTGATAATGATGGATACTATTATGTTGTATCAAGAGCAGATGATGTTATAAACTCAGGTAATGGTTTAATTTACAATTCATTTTTTGAAGATGCTATACAACACAATGAAAAGGTATTTGATAATGTTGTTGTCCCAGTGACATCAGATGATCCATCAAAACAAGATGCAGTTGCATTTATTATTTTAAATGATAAATTTAAAAATGAATATGATGAAAACCCAAAACAGTTTTTAAATACCCTCAAAAATGAAATCAATAATTCAATAGTTTTTGATTCCGTAATTACTGTTGAAAAGAATGCTTCAATTAAACACGTCGTTGTACTTTTTGATATTCCCAAATCAGTTAGTAACAAAAAAATCAGACCTTTATTAGCTAAAATGTTTGAAGGTATGTATATTATAATATTTATAATTATTTTTCCCCCAATTTTAAAAATTAATTATTTTAATTTTTTATAAAAAAACAGAAAAGGAATATGCTATACCTTCATCAATGATGAACACTCATTTATTACCTCAATATGAAAACCAAATAAAATTCTATAAATCACTCTAAAATAAATAAAAAATAAAAAATTGGATATTAAAAAAAAATTTCTGTTGCTATAAATGGTCAAATAACTATTTATATAGTTTATTATTTATTTTATGCAAACCAAATTATTTATTTTATATCTAAAAAATAAATCAAAATATAAAAGTAATTTCTTGATACACATATTTTTTTAAAAAAAAAAAAAAATAGTTTTTTAGATAAGAAAATTAATTTTTTTTTTTCAATTTTAAAATCTAAAATAGAAAAAACTAGTATTTTTTTCTTTTTTTTTTACTATTAATAAGTATGAAAGAAGATTGAATTTTTAAATTTTTTTTTTAATATTAAATTTTTTTTTAAATGAGATTCACAATTTTTTATGTTTATAAGGTGTAGCGTGGTGTTACCAAAAAAAATTAATATATATTTAGAATAATCAATGTGACCATTTAAATTTCCACAATGCTGAACATTAGTTTTTAATTTGAGGTTTAAATAAAATAAAAGAGTGCAAAAACTTTTTAAAAAGGAATTATTAAATTAAAAATAAAATAAAAAAAAAATAACTTAAAAAAGTTTTTTTAAAATTAATTTTTTCTCTGTTTTTTTTAAAAAAAGTAAAAATAGGTGCGAAGTGGGGGGTTTGGGTATAACTATTTTTTTTATTTATTTTTTTAAGCATGCTATGACTAAATAGAATCCCTATTTTAAATCACCAACACGTATAGCTTCAAAAGTTATTATTTAGATGTACAAAAAAGAAAAAACATTATTTTTAATAATAATGAACATTCTCCTTGTAATTATAGATTAAAGATCTTTTTTTAAAAAAAAAACATATTGTTGTGATTTTTCAAATACTGTTATAATAATTAGTCACTAATGAGAAAATATTGCTCTTTCTATTTTAAAAAAATAACTTTGTGATAAAATTAAAAAATCTAAAAGATTTTAGTTTTTTCTTAATAAAAATTAATAATTTTGGGGTAATTTTTTTTTAAATTTATTGATGTTTTTATTAATTAATTCTGTAATAATTATGTATTATATTTTTTTAAATTAATTATAAAATATTTTACAAACTTAGTTTTTCTTTATAAACTTTTTTTTTTAATATTATTTTTATTTATAATAAAAATAAATGGCATATAAATATCAATTAAGCAAACCATTCAACTATTTTAAGGACAAAGAGTTTTCAAATAATGATTTAATATCATTTTGGGATGAAATTGGAAAAAAATATATAAAATGGTATTTTAAATTGAATTATTTTTTTGTAAAAAATAAAATTTCTAATTTTTTTTTTTTTATAATTTCAGGGATAAAATGTATACTAAGGTGTATAGTGGAAATGAAAAAAAGCCACAATGGTATAATGGAGGCTTATTAAATTTATGTAATAATGTTTTGGATAAAAATTTAAAAGAAAATGGAAATAAAATTGCTTTTTATCATGAATGCCCATCCAAAAACTATTCAAATAAAGTTACTTATTTTGAATTATGGGAAAAAGTATGTGTATTTTCAAGAGTATTAAAGAATTTGAATATAAAAAAAGGAGATGTTGTTATGATTTTGATGCCAAATCAAATTGAAACCATTGTAGCAATGTTATCTTGTGTAAGAATTGGAGCAATTTATTGTACATGTCCTCTTCATTTAAACTCAAAAATGATTGCAGATAAAATTGAATATATAAAACCAAAATTAATAATTTCTACAAATTATGCAATAATTGAATCAGATTACCTATATCTTATATCCCTTTTGAATGATGCAATTCTCATATCAAATTTAAAAATTGAAAATATAATTATATATGATCGTATCGATTTTATAAATAAAGAAAAACAAGAATCTTTTTTAGATAGACCCCAAAATTATAAATTCAAAGGTATTCAAATTGAAAAAGCTTTAGATTGGGATGAAATTTGTAAAAATGTAGAACCATTGGTAGAATATGAACTTTTAGAATCATCTAGCCCTGTTTGTATTACATTTTCAAGTGGTACCACTGGAGTATCCAAAGGTTTTATTACTGAAACAGGTTCCTTTATCGCACATTTAGGATATTCATATAAAAATAACTATGGTTTTAGAGAAGATGATATTTTATTTGCAAGCATCGGTCTTGGATGGGCATTTGGTCAAAACACAATATTCGGCTCTTTAAATCATGGTTGTTCACTTGTTTTATATGAAGGTAATACGGGTATGGCTTCATTTGACTATTATAAACTAATTGAAAAATATAAAATTTCATTATTTTTATGCTCACCCTTACCTTTTAGATTACTTCAAAACATTGACCCAGAAGCTGAAGTTTCGAAACAATATAACTTATCAAGTTTAAGAGTAATTGTTTTAGGTGGTGAAATATTAGACTCCTCAATTTTAAATTATATTGAAAAAATTGGTGTTAGAGTAATGGATATGTATGGTCAAAGTGAATGTTTTGTCTTGCTAACTTCACCATCTTTACAACTACCTAGCCGGCCAAAATCAGCAGGTGTTCCTACATCTGGACTTAATTTATATATTTTATCATTAGAAGATAAACAACCAATTACAAAACCATTTCAACTTGGTGAGTTTGTAGTTAAACTTCCATTAACACCTTTTCATATTCAAGGATTATTATATGATGATGAAGATCGAACATTGTTAAATGAAAAATATTTAAAAAAATATCCAGGGTATTTCAATACTGGTGATTTAGGTTACTTTGATAATGATGGATACTATTATGTTGTATCAAGAGCAGATGATGTTATAAATTCAGGTAATGGTTTAATTTACAATTCATTTTTTGAAGATACTATACAATACAATGAAAAAGTATTTGATAATGTTGTTGTCCCAGTGACATCAGATGATCCATCAAAACAAGATGCAGTAGCTTTTATAATTTTAAATGATAAATTTAAAAAAGAATATGATGAAAACCCAAAACAGTTTTTAAATACCCTCAAAAATGAAATCAATAATTCAATAGTTTTTGATGCTATAATTACTGCTGAAACAAATGCCTCAATTAAACACGTCGCTGTACTTTTTGATATTCCCAAATCGACAAGTAACAAGAAAATAAGATCTATATTAGCTAAAATGTTTGAAGGTATGTATATTACAATATTATAATTATTTTTTTCCCCCAATTTTTAATATTAATTATTTAATTTTTTTAAAAATAGAAAAGGAATATTTTGTACCCTCATCAATGACGGACATTCATTTATTACCTCAATATGAAAACCAAATAAAATTCTATAAATCACTCTAAAAATAAAAAAATAAAAAAATAAAAAAAAAGATATTTAAAAAAAAAAAAATTCTGTTGCTATAAATGGTCAAATAATTGTTTATATAGTTTATTATTTAATATATGTGATAATCATTTTTTATATCTAAAAAAAAAAAAAAAATATTTTTTTAATCACCCACCCCCAATTTTTAAACAATTTATTTTTATTTATTTATTTATTTATTTTCTTTTTTTTTTTAAAAATAATTATTTTTCACCCTTTTTTTTTTTTTCATTATTATAATCATAATCTATAGTAATAAAATAATATTATTAATATTTAATAATGAAATATATAAATTATTACATAATATTTTTTTTATTTTATATAAATTTATGTATTATCTTTTCATTTGCAAATGATGAACCTACACAAATATTAAATTCAATTCAAAACAAAACAGCAAATGAAATCATATCGTTATTCGAAGGTAAACATGTAGAAGACCCGTGCTCACATGCTTTTTTTAAATGTAGGAATATACATAACAATAATGATAAAGATAAAGATGATGAAAAAAATAAAAAAGATGAAAATGATAAAGATGACTCTTACTATACAGTTTCTAGTATAACATTACCCGTACCAAAATATAACATTGATTTTATAAATATCACAATTGACTTAACTGTATTTCAAGATTTAGAAACTATAAAAATAAGAGGTGATGCAAAAATATTACTACCCGCAAATTTTTATAACAATTTAGATAAATTTAAAAAAATTAGAAAAATGTAATTATTTATATATTATTATTATAGTTTTTAAAAAAACTCCAATCTAAATACTAATAAAATATTTATTTGATAGAGTTTCATACTATCAATTTTCATCAATTAAAGAATCTATTGTTATTCCATCCAGCCTATCAGTCTATAGAGTTAATTATGTTGCTGCAAAATTTAGTAATAATTTTTTTAGTTCTTCAATTTCTAGAATCGAATTTAATAGATCTTTAGATGGTTTTGAACTTCCCAAAGAGTTTACTGACAATGAACATTTAGAAACTATAACTTTGCCACTATCCTTAATATCCCCGGACTTACCAAAAAATGGTAAGGGTTTACCAAAATTAACCTCTTTAACTATTATGGTTGATGTAGAGAATAAAAAACAAGATTTTAATTTCCCATCCCTTGAAGAATTTCCAAATCTAATTAAACTTTCAATTTCATCATCATGGGGTAAAGAAAAAAGACTATATCAATTACCAAGCTTTAAACATATGGAAAATTTAAAACAACTTTATATATATGGCGATCTCTTTTATTCATCAAATAGCTCCTCTGTTTTAAACCTTTCAAAACAACACAACTTTAAATCACTGTAAGTTTAAAATATATATTTAAAATCATAACATTACCCTAATAGTATTTTAAAATTTTTAAAAATTTAGAGAATTATGGAATTGTTTCTTTTTAACCAATTGTAGTAGCTATCCATGTATCAAGTTTTCAAATGACACTGAGAATGTGTCGGTTTCAACTACCCTCACTCAATTTAATATGTCTTTAATAAACTATGACATAGTTAAAACTTTAAAAGTTAGTCGTAATATGCTAGAGCAACCTCTTCCAGAATTTCCACCCAATAAACTTATTAATTTTCATTTATACAATTCGAAAATATCAGACTCAATCCCAGCCTCATATTGCGGAAGATCATTTAATATTTCAAATAATGAAATGATTGGATTTGTACCAGAATGCTTCTTGTGTGAAAAACCAAATAATGCTATTTATCAAGGAAACTACTTCAAAAACTATGATGATAGCTACAAGCCTACATGTCGTAAGTAAAACAAATTTATAAAAAATAAAATTATATATAAAATTACTAATAGTTTTTTTTAAAATAGCAAATTTCAAAATTAATGATATGGTAAACATCCCAATAATTAAAACTGATGGTAGCGATGGAATCATAATATCAGGTACCGATATAGGTTATGGAATATCAACTCAGTATGACTATATTGTCTTAATTCCAAATAAAAAGATTGAAATTTTCCCTGGTAAAGGAATTGGTTTATCAAAAGTCATCAAAATTAATTTTTTCTACAACCCAAGCTATGATTATAATTTAAAGTATCAATATGAAAATCCAATTATAAACTTTTACAACACTAGCACAATAAACAATATTACTTTTATTATATTATCAGGTAATGGTTTCAACTATATCACAGATAATCAATTTTATATAAATGGAAATTGTTTTATTAGTAGCATTGCAAAAGATGGTACCTCAACAATAGTTTTTGGCAATGATGATGGTCAGAGTATCAGAGCTACAGATAATTCCACTAATCCTTTCGAATCGATGAAAAATGGGGAAGATTTTGAAATCTATACAGTGGTAGGTGATCAAAAATCAAATCCTGTTACCTTTATTTATTTAAAAGAAGATCTGGAAATAAACACCACTGTTATTTCAGGGGAAAGATTGAATATACAGGGTGGTGAAGCTACTTTCGGGGGTTCATTCCATACATCAAATCAAACTTTAGTATCTCTTAAAATCAATGATCAATTATGTAAAGTTATAAAATTAACAAAATCATCCATTACAATCAAATATCCATCTGTCCCAAAGGCCGGAAACTATTCTTTGGTTTTAAATGTAGGAGGCAATTTATTAAAAACAAATATTCTCTTTGACAAAAGCGATAGTTCTTCAGAATCAACTCATTCCGATTCTAATCATAAATCCAAAGGTAGTAGTGAACATCGCGATTCCAGCAAATCATCCGAATCAAATAAAAACTCTTCTTCCCATAATAATAAAAATGATAGTGGCTCTACTAACGACTCCAATGATTTCTTCCCAACTAATAAACCAACTCGTACTCCCTCAGTAACACCACAACCTTCTGAAAATAGTAAATCGCATGAAAACATAATTACCACAACACCCTCGCCAACATCACCATCAGATAATAGTTCAAGAAAAGGTACAATTGTTTCAGCAGTTTTTATTATTATATCAATATTAGCAATAACCTCATTTATACTATATAAAAAACCAGATTTAAGAAATAAAATATTTAAAAAATTGGGAATTATTGGTGGAAATAGATATTCAATGTTATCAAGAAATATGATTCCAAATTCATTTGAAGATATAGATGACTATGAAAATGAATTAGATGAATTTTTATAAAAAAAAATAAAAAATAAAGATACAACCAAAAAACATTATTTGTATATTTAAATAATTTTTTTTTATTTATTTATTTTTTAATTATATATTTTATTTATAATTAATTTTTTTAAATTTCCCAAGACTCGATTGTCTCTAATTCTTCAGAACCAATAAAAGGTTGCTCGATTGATCTAATCATTATATCTCCACAATATAAACATTCTTTACCAATTATTCTATCTAATTCGTTACGATCCAAATCTTCTTGCGATGCTTTATCTTCAATTTGTTGAGAATCGTTCAAACTTGAATCTTTACCTAAAATTGAAGAGATATTACTTATTAAACCACTAGCTGGATTTGAATGATTATGGGAATTACCACTCGAAAGAGCCATAAGCTGTTCATTATTGATACTCATTTGGAGTTCTCTAATTCTTTGTCTTTGATATGATGGAAGGTGTTTATTTAGTTGAGTAATTAAACAATCGCTATGGAATACATGTTGGCAAGAGAATAAATAAAATCTTTTTGATAGTACTGGATATGAACAAATATCGCACTTTTGGTCGCCTCTAACGTAACCATACTTATTACGAAGATTTTGAATATCTTTACGAATTTGTTGTGCTGATTTAGTGGCATCGTCCATGTCTGCTTTTAATTCATCGATGTAAGAATTATAATCTTCGAGTGATTTGCAAATTTCCTCTTTAAAGTCGTCGATAACTGTGAAATTTGGGAAAAATGGTAAAATATCTTCAATTTTAAGAAGTGAGCATGCCTTGAGGAACTCCATAGCCTCTTTAATATTACCATCTTTTTTAACTTGATGCTCAGCGATTCTTAACCAAAGTTTTTTGCATAACTCTTCATCAGTATCTCTAACCTTGTCGGCATTTTCTTTTGCAAGATCAATGTCAACAGATAAAGCCAAATCGACAGCCTCTTCATAAAGCTCCATAGCTCCATAGATATACACACAAGCCTTTAGTTTTTTCTCTCTCATACAGAGACGAAGAGCGTATTTCAAATCGTAATAAACTTCATAACCATTTAAAAATTCTAATAATGGACGATCATCTTCTTGCTTGACGTACAATGATAAAAGGTAGTTGTGTAATGCACGATCGTTATCTTTTTGTTTTTGAACGCAATATTGTAAATAACGAATGGCTTGATTTGGTTGACCTGGTGGGTTTTTAGTTGGATCATATCTCATGAGTGATGGAATTAACTTTCTTGGATTGAGGAAACCTGGTTTAGTTTGAATCCATGCTTCACAAGTTTGATATGGAATAAAATGGAATAATACTGGACAAAATTTATAAAATAATTCTTCTAATTGTGAGTTTGATTGTTGTTGTTGTTGTTGCTGTTGTTGTTGTTGATTTTGTTGTGTTGGAGGAGGTTGATGTTTCTTTTTATCTAATGTTACTAAAATACTGAGAGCACTTTCATATTGTTGATGTTGAATGTGATAACTAACTACTCTTTCATAATCTTCAATAAGATTGGCATAGAATAAAAGTTCATCGATTGCACCATGACTACTAATAATATTGAATGTGATATCCTTGATTACTATTAATGTATCTTTGAAATTCTCTAAAAATTGACGGAATTCTGAATTGACCTTGTTGTATTTATCTTTATTAACTGGATCACGAAGAGTGTTTAACTTGCTAATAAATATTTCGATGAGCCATGTACAAATAATTGTCTTTTGTGTTTCTTGACCTCTGTTAAGATTGATAAGCTTTTGGAGGAGATAAGTTTTTAATGCATCACGTTGATTTGCATTGATGAATTTAAGTGTGATCTCTTCAAAGACTTTACGAGTTTTACCAAAGAAAGTAGCTGCCAATTCATAACGTTCCTCTTTAAAGTAATGCTCTGCTTGAGTTTGCCAAATTTTATCGAGTTTCTGTTCTGCATATGGTGCCTGTACAAAAGTTGATGCTATATCGAATAAACCTTTTTCCATATACAATCTCCAAACATCTCTATCTTCTTTAGTTACTGTTAAATTATACAAGTTATTACCACAGATCCAAATCGATTTGTCTGTGTGGTCGACTGCAATGCCTCTTAAACGCTCCTTGGCATGAAAATAATGGTCGAAAACAATTTGATAGTTTAATTTACTGAGTGCAATAAGTCTATCGTCATAAAGTAAAAGGAAATGAAACTCTGTAAGTGCAAATGAAACTGGTGGATATGGTGGTAATGTAGATTGATCATCGCCATTATTATTATTATTATTATTATTATTATTATTGTTGTTATTACTTTCTTGACTAAAATGTAACATCATTGATGATGTTGTAAATTTCTCTTTTTCTTTATAAACTAAATCTCCATAGTGAATACCTGAACTAACTAACCATGCATATGATTGGGGTAAAGCTCCATTTTGTTTTGCGAATGTTCTAATTTCACCACATGCTCTTGTTGCTGGAATATTAGGATCTTCTGGTATAATGTCAAAGTTAACTCTTGATCTATCGAATAATTGATCATATGTGCCAGTTTGTGAAAAATAATATAATCTTGTTGGAGTTGATACCATTAAAAAGTTTTTATTTTGTGTTTTCTCTAAACTCATACCTGAAATTGGCTCATTTTCTTCAAATGAGTGTAACTAATAAAAAAATATTAATATCATATTAATGTAATAAAATAAAAATATCTTTTTCTAATATTACTTACTAATTTATATAATGGTGCACTTGCTGAAAATGAAATAATACTTTTTTCGACATTACTAACAACGGTTTCATAGATTCTACCTTTATTTGAACCAAGAAGGATATTTTGTGTATTTGCTCTATCTGGTGATGAATTATCCCATGCAACAGACTCAATTAATTCTACCTTCCACTTTTGTAATTTTGGTTTTCTTGAAGTTGAATGTGCATGAAGATAATGAATTTCTTCATTTAACATACAAATTAAAAGATGATTACCTGTTGGATCCAAAAATGTTTTATAAATTTCACCTGTCATTCTAATTTCTAAAATTAAATATTTATTCGATTAGTATTTGATTGTAAACAATAGATTATTAATAACTACAATTCCATCGCTCTAATTACCTTCAATTTCTGGATTTGGATCTCTTAAATCTAAACGTGAAATATTTGATCTGGTGGTCATAACAAGAATACCATTGCATACTGCTACTGATCTAAGTGGTTCTGATGGTTTAAAAGAGACATTATCTACAAAAAACATTGGCTCCTCATTGCTATCGAAATTCAAATTATTATTATTATTGTTATTATTATTATTGATAGTGTTAATTGTATTTAAATTAAAATCATCTGTATAATCACTTCCAATATTATCACTCTAAAAACATTATAAAACAAATTAATATTATTATAACTTTATAAACCATATCTATATAAATAACTAAATATATCTTACCAATATATGAGTGTTGGAAAAATTAAGTGACATTATAAAAATACAAATTTATTAATTAAATAACAATTAATAAAAAAAAGGGTATAATAAAAAACAAAATAAAAAATTATTTAAAAAAATCAAAAAAAAAAAAAAAAAAAAATTTTAAATTTTTAAAAAAAAAAAAATTAAAAAAAAAAAAAAAAAAAAAAAATTTTTAAAATATATGATGAACACACAAATATCTTTTAAAGTTTTATTTTTAATTGCATTTTTAATTAATTTGGATATATCATATTACTTTTCCTCTAAATTATCTTTTATTTTAATACTATTATATTACTATTTTTATTTTTATTTTAAAAAAACACCCACCAAAAAACACACAATTTTTATTTTTATTAATTTTTTTTATTATTTTTCTTTAATTATTTTTTATTTTTATTTTTATTTATTTTTAATTTAATTTTCAAAATTTAATAAATGTGTAAATATAAAAACTAAAAAAAAATAATAATAAAAAGAAATTTTTTTTAAATAATTATCTTTTTAAATAATACTCTTTTCTTTTTTTAAATTTCAAGTAAACCGAAAGAAAAATAAAAAAAATAAAAAAAAAGACGAAAATTTTTTTTTTTTTTTTTTTTTTTTTTTTTTTTAAATTTATTTTAGTTTTTTTTCTTTTTTTTTTTTATTATTTCAAATATAAAATTAATTAATATCACATAATATTATTTTTATTATTTATTATTATTTTTAAAAAGTATAAACTAATTTGTTAATAAACTTTTTTTTAATAATTTATTATATCAGTATTATTGAATTTATTAAATACTATTTTTCTTTTGATATAATAGAGCAATAATTAAAATAATTAAAATTTTATTATATACACCAAATAATTTTGTTTTTTTTTTTTTTTATTTAAATTTATTATAACATTTTACGGGAACACATAAATATATTGTATATATTATCTTTTTTTGCATTGTTTTAAAAAAATAAAAATATAAAATGGGTATTCCAGCATTCTTTAGATGGTTAATTGACAAATATGGAGGGTTAATTCAAGAAACAACAGAGCCAAGAGAGGGAGATGGGTCAAGAAGTAAAGTAGATTTCACAGAAATGAATCCAAATGGAGAATATGATAATTTATATTTAGATATGAATGGTATCATTCATCCATGCGCACATCCAGAGAAAGGACCCAAACCGCAATCTGTGGACGATATGATTCAATCGATTTACGAATATTTAGATTTACTTTTCGCAATTATTCGTCCAAGAAAATTAATCTATATGGCAGTTGATGGTGTTGCACCAAGAGCAAAGATGAATCAACAACGTACTCGTCGTTTTAGAGCTGCTTTAGATTCACGTTTAGAAAAAGATAAGGAAGAAAGGTTATGGCGTGATCAAATCTTTGATGGTATTAAAACTGAAGAAGATTACGAAAAACACAAACAAGAGAAATTAAACAAATTTAAATTCGATTCAAATTGTATTACCCCAGGTACTTTATTTATGGATAGAGTTGCTCTTAGTCTAAGAGAATATGTTGCCGAAAAATTTTCAACAGATCCAGCATGGAAAGATGTATGTATAAAATAATTTATAAAACAATATAAACATATAAAAATAATTTTTATATTAATATAAAATCAATAACAACAACAATAGGTAAAAGTTATTATTTCAGATGCAGGTGTACCAGGTGAAGGTGAACACAAAATTATGGATTATATTAGACATCAAAGAGCTCAACCAGATTATGACCCAAATTTGAAGCATATCATTTATGGTTTAGATGCAGATTTAATTATGTTGGGTTTAGCAACTCATGAAGTTAATTTCGATATTCTCAGAGAATTTATTCAACCAGTAGGTCGTGGTATTTGTAATAAGTGTCACAAGAAGGGTCACATGGCAAGTGAATGTACTGAGGCAGATAGTGATGAAAAAGATTTCTTGGTTAAGAACTATCAAATTCTGCATTTACATTTATTAAAAGAATATTTAGAGTTGGAAACTAGAGTATCAACACCATTTGGCTTCAATATCGATAGGGTTGTAGACGATTTTATCTTTTTATGTTTCTTTGTTGGTAATGATTTCTTGCCACATTTACCAAATCTCGAAATTAAAGACGGTGCAATCGATCGTGTATTGAAGGTTTATAAAGATTTATTACCATCGTTCGATGACTATCTAGTTTGCGATGGCGAGGTTAGTTTCCCACGTCTCTCCCAGATCTTTGCTGCCCTTACAAAGAGTGAAGATGCCGCTTTCAAACGTAAAATTGAAAAGGAACAACAAATGTTAAGAAGAAAGAAAGGTTTTACCGATTTAACCTCTGCTCCTCAATCATTAAATTTAAATGGACCAACTTCACTCTCTCATAAAGAGGCAGCTGATAAATTATTAAATGAATTACTTCAACCTGTTGATCAACAAGAAAACGAAGAAGATAGACCAAATAAAAAATTAAAGAGTGGTACCGATTCGGTAACTGGCGTAAAATCTAACAAAAAAGCAGCAGAGCTCATTAAAAATAAATTAACTGCCAAACCAGCTTCAGCTGCATTGGAAGAAGAGGAGGCTTCAAATAAATCAAAGGGTAAAAGAAAATTACAACAAATCGAATTGGATGACGAACAACAGCAACAATTAAACATTATCGCTGCTGAGCAAGAAAAGAAATTAAATAAAAAGAAATCAAAAAAAGAAAAATTAGATGAGGAAAGAGACGAAAAAGAGCAAAAAGAACACGAGGAAACCAGTGAAAAAGCAGTTTCATTATTTGTTAACAGTGTCGACGATGGCAGATTACCAACTGAAAAAGAAATCTTTTTTGATAATGGCCGTAATATTAAATATAACGAAGAGGGCTGGAGAGATCGTTACTACAAAACATGTTTCGATGTCGAAACTGAGGATGGTATTAAAGAAATCTGTAAATCATATGTCGAAGGTTTAGTTTGGGTATTAAAATACTATTTCAAAGGTTGTTCATCTTGGGGTTGGTACTATCCATATCACTACTCACCATATATTACCGATATTAGTAAGTTCTTTGACGAACTTAGTTATCCAGAATATGAAATGGGTGATCCATTCAAACCATTCAATCAATTGATGAGTGTATTACCACCAGCCTCATCACAATTCGTTCCAAAACCATACCAAAAACTTATGGGTCTTTCTGTTGATGGCGAACCAATCGAAGAATCACCAATCATCCAATTTTATCCAAGAGCTTTTCGTATTGATAGAGGTCCAACCGAACCACTTTATAAAGGTGTCTGTTTGTTACCATTTATTGACGCTCCATTGCTTTTAAAGACTATTGCAAGCAGAGAAAAGTTACTCACCCAAGAAGAAACAGATAGAAATACTCTTGGTCATGATTTAATGTTTTGCCACAAAGACTCGATGGTAAATAAGCAATTTTTAGAACAAATCAATCAATTGGAACAAAATGAAATGACTGAAAAGGGTAAAGATAAACTCACTAAGCAAGAAACCAAGCAAATTAAAGATAATCTCGAACCAGTTGCTATACCACAAGAAAATTCAAAAATTTATGGTACTGTGCAATTCCCATCTGCCTTAGCCACAAAGAAAATGCCAAAAAATTTAATGGATGCTATTGCATTTAAATATTGTAATCCACAAGTTCCAGAGGGTTATAAATTTGTTTATCAAACTTTAAAGGGTGCAGTTATTCCAAAGAAAACAATTACAAATCTTTCAAGACCTCGTTCTCAAAATTCTGCTATGAATCGTATGATCAACAATTCAATGGGTAGCTCAAATCAATATAAAGATAGTGGTAATTTTAATAATGGTTATGGTCAATATCAAAATTTCCACAATATTACAAAGTATAATAATTCAAATATGAATAATAATGGTAATTTTATAAACTATAATAATTATGGCCAACAAGGCTTTAATAATAACAATAACTATAACAATAATAATAATTATAACAATAATTTCAATAATAATAACAATTATAATAATAATTTTAATAATAACAACAATAATAATAATGGTAACTATAATATGAATAATAATTATAATGGTCAAAATTATAATAACAATTATAATAATAATAACTTTAACAATAACAACAATAATTATAATAACAATAATTATAATAATAACTATAATAACAATGGTTTTAATAATAATAATTTTAATAACCAAAATTTTAATAATAACCAAAATTTTAATAATAACCAAGGTAACCAAAATTTTAATAGTAATCAAAATAATTTTAATAATAACAACAATTTCAATAATAACAACAATTTCAATAATAACTTTAATAATAACTATCAACAAGTTGGTAATACTTATGGTGGAAATAATGACATGGGCGAAGATTTAGGTGTTAGCTATAATCCAAATCAACAGCAACAAAACAACAACCAAAATTTTAAACAAAATAATAATAGAAATTTCAATAACAATCAACAAAACAATAAATTTTATAACCAAAATAGAAATAATCAAAATAGAAATAATCAACAAAACAATAAATATTATAATCAAAACAATACTAATCAAATTAATAGAAATAGCCAGCAACAAAATCAACAAAACCAACAACAAAATCAACAACAAATCCAACAACAGCAACAACAAAGCGTTAAAGTACCAATGAAATATAACCCATTTGCAAAATCAAAATAATCATCATCATTACACATATATATTAATATATATATAATTTATTCTTAATAAAATCAAGAATTAGTTGCTTTTTTCTTTTTTTTTCTTTTTTATTTCCTCCAATTCTTATTTTAACCCTTTTTAATATTTAAAACTTTCAACAGGTGAACTAAAAACAAAAATTTGGGCAACCAAGAGGCATGGATTAATTAATTAATTGATATTTTTAATTATTAATATTGTTTAATTAATAATTCCATTTCTTCATAGTTTTTCAAATTTAAGTTTTAGTTCATCAATAAACAAAGGAATTAAATTTAAAATAGATTTTTCTTTTAAATTATTTTTTTATTTTTATTTTTAATTTTAATTTTAGTTTTAGTTTTAATAAATCATATTCATTCTTCTGTGCAGTATATATTATCAAGATAATGTCTAATTGTAATTAAAAAATTTAACAAAGAAATATCGTGTATAAAAAAAGATAATATTTTTTATATGAATTTTTTTTTTTAATGGTTTGTTTTTAAAATAATATAGTGTAAAAGCCGGTCAAGTTTGCCCACACATATTTATTATATCAAAATTTAATACGAAAAAAGTTAAAATATCACAAAAATAATCTAATTTCCTAAAAGAATCCATATTGCCCAGATAGCTTTTGCTTTTTAAAAATATATTGGAATATTTATTCCATTTTATTATTTTATTAATTATAAGACCTAAGTATCTGAATTGACCAGATATTACTTGAAGCAAAATTTAACCGTTGCAATTTTGGTTGAATAAATTGAATTATTCTGAGGTAACTTAATTTATTATTGCAAGAATAATAAATTTCCGGAGATCCAACTTTCTTTTAAGGTGGTGTTACTTCATAAAAGATGCCCGCATCTTAGCTAATAGAATATGAATTAAACATTACAGCCCTTGGCAGTTTAGCATAGCATAAGTTTCATCTTGTACGGAGAACCTTGGGTTAGTGTTTCCTTGCAAAGGAAACCTTCTATCCAGTTAAATAGCACGTATACAGCTCGGTATAACTTTAGTGCATTGGCGTAGAGTCTTGTTAATCCTTTCGGTTGACTATGGATATGTACAGATGCCATATATATCTTTTATTTAGAATAAAATGATATATTGTATTAAAAAAAAAAAAGAAAAAAGAAAAATGAAAAATAAAAAAAAGAAAAATAAAGTGGTAATATTTAATAAATGTGAACATTCGTTTTCGAATGAATCATTTATTGGTGGTAAATAAAGTGGTAGGTTTAATTTTTGGTAGATAATAGTGGTAGGGTCTGATGAATTTAAGGTGTAATTTCATCATCTAGTTTAATGGTAAAAATGTTAGTACCATTGCATTAAAATCAACATAAAGTGGTATACTATTTGGTTGTAAGCCAAATGGTTCTGGAATTGTAAATTTTGGTTTTAATATTCCTTTTTCGATGTTGATTTTAATAATGTTTTGTTTGGATGATTTTTTAGGAAAATATTTCTTGTCAAATCATTTGTGAATGTTGTGGTAGTATTATCTTTGGTTCTGTTTACCTTAGATGCACCAGTGTAGTTTTAGATTATACTGGTTATGTTGTGATGTGGTGTAGTTGTTGTTTCAAAAAAAAGAATTTATTCATTATTATTAATAATATTTTTTTAAAAATTTTTTTTGAAAATTTGTGTTTAATTTATATGATGATTTTGGATGGTAATTTTTGTTTTAATAGTTCTGGTTTTTTAGTATGTTAAAAGTGTTATTTAGGTGACCAGACTTATTAAATTTTGGAATACATTTTAGGTATTCTGGATAAGTATTTTAAAGAGTATTTAGTGAATAAAATGGATTTTGAGCAGAATGTTGATTATTTTGTAGTGGAATAATGCAATCATTAGTATCCAAGTTGTCATCACCATTATTTTGATTATTATTTTTTTAAAATTTGTTTGTGAATGAATAAATAAAAGAGATACACCGATCAACTAGTGAGATCTCAATTAGATTTCGTCTACTTAAAAAAGTTTTAAAAAATCAAAGAAAATTTTGGATTTATTTAAAACAGTTAATGAAAGTGTATGTGGTGATATATGTAGATTATATAAAAATCAACAAAAGTGTGTAAAAATAAAATGAATTGTATAAAAAGTGATAAATATCATTAAAAAAATGAATGATGTTGTACAGTTCTTCGCAAAAGTTTTGACCCCCTTTTTTAAAATTTTTTTATTTTTATTTATCTTCAATAATTTTAATTCCAATTATTCTAAAAAATATAAAATAAATTTTAGAACATCTGAACTATATTTTTTTATAAAAAAAAAATAAAATAAAATTTTTTTTTTTGAAAATTTTTTTTTTTTTTTTTTTACATATAAAAAAAATGGGTTCATTATTTTTAAAAAGATAATTTAAATTTTAATATATAATTTATTTTTTAAACGAAATTTTTTTTTTAATGTTTTATTTCTTGATATTTTGTGAATTCACCTTAGTTCTTATTTATTTGTTGTATTTTTATTGAGGTTGATTCATAAAGATTATCAAATATATCCTGATGAATATTTTTTAAAATTCAACAAATTAAAAGATTGAAATTATGACGTGGGTACCCGATAGAAATCAATTTTATACGTCGTTTTACTATTGACCATATATTCTCAATAATATTAAGATCTGGTGAACACGGTAGAATAAATATCACCCTAATGTACATTTTTTCTTAAAAATCGGCCAATAATTAGGTCATATGAATAGAGCAATTGTCTTGTAAAAGAAACATATGACCAGATAAAATTCATTTCTCTCGTAAAGTTCTTCTATAACCCTGTATTAATATTTTTAAATATTTTGCAGCATTTGTGTTAAACCTGATAATACATATACGACCTGCACTATGAGCTGTGCAACAACTTCATGTATATATTGAGCTGCCACCTCATATTCGTTTGGCCAATATGTTTTGTTTTAGGTTTCTTGTATCATGAATCCATTTTTTAGTTTTCAATTAATAAGAAAATCCTTCAATTCTGGTTTCATCAACAAATATTACCCTTTTCCCAATTTTCAGCTGCCCAATTTTGGCACTTTTTTACCCACCTTAGCTTTGAGACATATATTTTTCGGTTGGAAAGTGTTTACATTTTAAACTTTTAAAAAAAACATTATTATGTTGTAGAGACCTACTATTTGAACTTACTGAAACATTTTTTTGAAAGTTTTTTCTAAGATATCTTTTTATATTACTTAAATTATGACATTTCCCATTTCAAATTTATTTTCTACAATGTCTTTCAATTCGGTCGTCCATCTTTCTTATTATGCCAGGTATTGTATTTTCTTCAATTGTACCTTTTTCTAGATTTTTTTTAAAAAATTCTCTTAACTGTGGACCTACTTCACTCAATATATCTTTAACTTTTTGATGATTTTTTGCTTTTTTGTAAATTTTTAAAATCACATTTATTAACTCTAAAAAAAGGGTCATTATTGTTTTTTTTTTCTATTTTTTATGAATATACTGTCCTATTTGTTTTTAAAAAAAAATTAAAATAAAAATAAAAAATTATAATAAAATTGAATTATCTTCTCAAAAATTTAGACCCCATTTTATATGGGCGCTATAAAAAAAAAATTAAAAAAATTTTTTTAAAAAAATAAATTTTAAATTTTTATTTAACAAAAAAAATATAAAAAAACCGTATAAGTTTATCTATAAATATTTTTAAAATGGATTTATAGTCAAAAACCAAAGATAAGATTAAAATTAAAATTTTTTTCTAATGTTTTTTATTAGGGGGTCAAAACTTTTGCGAACAACTGTAATTAGTGGTAATTAATTATAGTTAAAGATATGGTAATAATAACTATAATAAAAAAGTGTTGATACACCAGTAGTATGTAAATTTTGTGATATAACAACAATTCTAAAATCAATTCAAATTTATTATAATAATTATAAACATATATCACATTTATTAGAAAAAGACAAACATATATTATTTTATAATTATCAACAAATTTAGACACATTTTTAATTTAAATAGTCACACATCTATTATTTTATAATAATCAAATATAAACACATTTTTAAAATTAAATATTTTTTTAAATTAATTTTATTTTTTTAAAATAATATTTTTCAGTATAAATTAAAATTCAAAAATAATTTTTAGTCAGAGAGAGAATAAGAGAGAAAATAATATAGAGAAAGTAATAAGTAATAGTTTAGTTATAGAATTTATAAATAATAATAATTAGTAATTTTTAGTTTTAATAAAGATTAGTTATTTTTTAAAATATAATTTTTAAATATTTTTATATATTTATTTTGGTTTTATTATATTTTATTTTATCTTTATTTTGTGTTTTATTATTATTATAATTAATTACATTTAGTTTATAATACATTTTGTTTAGTAATTAATTCATTATATTAGAATTCTTAAATATAACAACAGTTATATTACATTTGGCGACAGCTCAGTAAGCTATTTTTGGTATTATATTACATTTGGCGACAGCTCAGTAAGCTATTTTCGGTATTATATTACATTTGGCAACAGCTCAGTTAGCTATTTTGGGGTTCTTGCAGCTATATTACATTTGGTGACAATTCAGCAAGCTATTTTTGGTATTATATTACATTTGGTGACAGTTCAGTAAGCTATCTTACAGTTATATTACATTTGGTCACAACTCAGTTTGCTATCTTGGGGTTCTATTACATTTGGTCACATCTTAGTCAGTTATTTTTGGGATTATATTACATTTGGCTCATTCAGTTATCTTAGGGGTCTATTACATTTTTTCAGTATATTTTAGTAAACATTTAAACTCATTTAGTAATAATAATAAATTTTAGTATAGTAAATAATAGTAGTTAATAATATTAGTAGTAAATAATTTTAGATACTCCAGTAATGGCGGAGGTACAGTTAAATCACGAATCAATTTATCAACGGGAAGATATTGATTATTATAGACCAGTTAAAGTAAAACAAAAAGGTTATTTATTATTCAATGGTGATCCCAACACCATTTCGTTCAAAGCATTCAAGTTAGGTTTATCAGTTATGTATGATAATAAATATAATGCAAAACAAATTATTTCCCATCTCGATAAAAGGCCATTAGAAACATTTTTAAATTTTTATTCCATTGGAGGATCAGCCGAAACCGCTTTAAATAATTTAGAAACCTTATACGCACCCGTAGAAGAAGCTCCAATCAGTAAATTATTAAATTTTTATAAAAGAAAATTTTCAAATTTTGAAGAATTAATATTAGAATTCAATCAAGTAGAGTGTGTATGTGTAGATGTACCAGTTCCAGTTAAAGTCGATTTATTTATTAAATCTCTACCTGATACAATAAGATTAGATATAATTAAAACTGCTCCTAAAACTTTGAAAATTGCCTATGAAAATGTCAGACAGATTTCTAGAGCAACAGAAGAATATTATGGTTATTCATTAATACAAGGAATCAATCAATCTCAATCACTACCACCATCTTTTAGACCAGAAAATACAATTAAAACTAGTTTGCAGTTATCTAGTCCATCATCATCTATGTCAAATTTTTCAAATAATAATAGTTCCACATCTTCAGTTAACGCTATAAATTTTAAAAAAAATTCAAATGTTATTTGTCATTATTGTAGAAAGCCAGGCCATGTAGTAAATGATTGTAGTAAATTAAAGAATAAAAAAGAAAAAGAGATTGAGCAAAGTAAAAAAGAAAATTTCAGTCAACCTCAATCAGTTAATGCAATCAATTGTAAATTAGAAATAAATAATAATGTTAATTCAATTTTAGAAAATCAATTAAAAAAAAATCCAACAGAATTTAGAAATTTAGTTAAAGAAAATTTAGTTATAGAAAATATTAGTGAATTTGTTCCAGTTCAAGTTATAGTTAAAGAAAAAGAAAGTTTATTAGCTGGAAATATTAGTAAAATCATTCCTTATGAAAAAGAAATAATCGAAGAAAAAATTGAAGATAAGTTAGAAAAAGAAATTATAGCCACCACAAATAATAAATTAGTTTTAGTTCCAGAAGTAGATAAGGCTATAAATTGTATAAATTTTAAACCATTAAATGTTATTCCAAAGAAAGAAAGTATTAAATTTACAAATTTCAATTCACATTTTAGTCTTGACGGATATCTTAGTATACCTTTTGGTTTAGTCAATTTTTTATCAATTTGTCAAAGTAAAATTCAGTTATCAAATCATCACGCAATGCATCTCAAGTTTGTTTTTGGTATTTTAAGAGATGCTGCTATAAAATTAAAATTAGAAAAATATGAAATCGCTCGGAAAGAAATTAAATTTTTAGATTACAAAATTTCAGAAAAAGGTGTATCTAATGATGGTAATAAACATTCAAATCTCTTAAAAACTCCTGTACCATCAAGTAAAAAACAATTAACACCATTTGTAGATCTTTTCAAACATCAATATGAAATTATTTATAGTCCTAGTAAAGTCAATTATTTTATAAATTTATCAAGAATTCAACATTTAGCTTATGGTAAAGAACTTGTGTTAAATAATAAGCAATCAGTTATGGAAAATCAAAATAATAATTTATTATATAATAATAATAATGAATATTTAACAACTAACGAAAAAAATAATGAATATTCAAAATTTAGAAATCAAGGTCAATTAAAGTTGTCAATAATCGATATCTCTTCATCAAGTCAACAAGAATTAGATCCAATAATAAATAAACTTTTAGAAATGTACTATTCAATAACAAATAAGAAACCTTTAAGTTATCATTTAATATCTAAAGAAAAATGGACAGAAAGTAATTACCCAAAGCAAGAAATATACTCATTAGATAAAGCTGAAATACAAACATTCTCATGTAATAGTTATAATACCGATACGTTAAATCATTTTAATCAAGAATATTTTAAAGTAGTAAAAGGAAAATTTAGTAAAGCTCCTAGTTTGTTAGTACCATTTGAAGTTAAGTCAGAAACATTTGCATCTATTGGAAAAGATTTTATAGGTCCGAGAATCAGAAAAATTTTAGAGAAAATTTTTTTAATTATGGTATTTGTTTTAAAGGGGGGCATATGTGATATAACAACAATTCTAAAATCAATTCAAATTTATTATAATAATTATAAACATATATCACATTTATTAGAAAAAGACAAACATATATTATTTTATAATTATCAACAAATTTAGACACATTTTTAATTTAAATAGTCACACATCTATTATTTTATAATAATCAAATATAAACACATTTTTAAAATTAAATATTTTTTTAAATTAATTTTATTTTTTTAAAATAATATTTTTCAGTATAAATTAAAATTCAAAAATAATTTTTAGTCAGAGAGAGAATAAGAGAGAAAATAATATAGAGAAAGTAATAAGTAATAGTTTAGTTATAGAATTTATAAATAATAATAATTAGTAATTTTTAGTTTTAATAAAGATTAGTTATTTTTTAAAATATAATTTTTAAATATTTTTATATATTTATTTTGGTTTTATTATATTTTATTTTATCTTTATTTTGTGTTTTATTATTATTATAATTAATTACATTTAGTTTATAATACATTTTGTTTAGTAATTAATTCATTATATTAGAATTCTTAAATATAACAACAGTTATATTACAATTTTGTGTATTATTGCCCAGATAGCTCAGTCGGTAGAGCGCAAGGCTTTTAACCTTGTGGTCGGGGGTTCGAGCCCCCCTTTGGGCGAAACATTTAGGTTTTTTGATATCTTCCTGGTGATTTTTTTTTTTTTTTTTTTTTTTTTTTTTTTTTTATGTAATTAGATAGGTAGAGGAATCGTCAGCATTGCATCGGGGGAGCAATGATAGCCAAGTGGTCGAACGAATTTCTGGGGGAGACTCTAAATGTATATGCTGATTTTCCAACTTTTACATTTAAATAATAGTAGTATAGGAATTCCAATGTAATCTTTTAGTTTAGATATTTGTGAAAATGATTCAGTTGTGCCAACCAAGTCATCAGCAAATGTATTATTTGATATTCCTAAGTTTTGGTTATTAATAATTCTATAACCAATTACATTAGTGTTTAGTAGATTTAATAAAGGATCAAAAAATAGACCCCAAAGAAATGGGGATAATGGATGACCTTGAATAACTCCTTTAGTTACATAAATATCGTTAGTCATACCATGTGGTGTGATAATTTTCATATTATTACCTGATAGAAAATCAGATATAATATCTATTGTTTCTTGTGGGAAACCTCTAAATTCTAATGCTTCGATTAATGCCCAATGTGGTACTTCATCAAAAGCTTTTTGTATGTCAATATATAATACATGAAGTTCTCTTTTATTTATTTTTGAAAGATGTTGTTCAGTACTGATATTGGTGATATTGTTGAACGTCCAGGTCTAAATCCATATTGGGATTCTGAAAAAGGACAATTTAGTTCGGTATAATTTTGTATTAGTTTAGTGAACATTGAAGCGTATAATTTATAAAAGTTACTTAAAATAGTTATACCTCTGTAGTTAGATAATGATTGATTGTTACCATTTTTATAGATTGTATATGTAATAATCTTCAAGTACTTCTATATATATACGATACTAGAGATTAAACATATAAATTATAAACCTTCATACCTGAACTAGCTATTTGAAAATAAATTAAACTTTTAAATATATTATTAAAAAAACCTTATTTGTAAAAGAGTGGGTTTATAAATATGTATAATTATACAATTTATAACTTAGTGTATATACAATGTATGTATATGTGTATACTATATATATATATAATATATGTATATCCTGTATACAGTTTATAAATATGTATCTATACAATATATGTATAATTATACAATTTATAACTATGTGTATATTATATTTATATAATATATGTATATTTTGTATACAGTTTATAAATATGTATCTATACATTATATGTATAATTATACAATTTATAAATATGTGTATACCAATTTTCCATTGTGATTCAAAGGTATTATCGTATGAGTATATTGTCCTGCTTCTATTGCAGAACAGAAGCAACAAACATCGTCATCACCACAACCAGTGCCAACACAGGAAATATCAGTGTCATTGTGTGATAAAACTATACCATCTGATCATTACGAAGGAATTACATCGATACTTGATGAAGTTGGAAATAAAGAATTTGGAAGGAAGGTAATAAAGATACTGACCAAATTATTCATTATGTGTTGAAGAGAACAGATAAAAAATACCAATGTAGAATCGCAAAACGTAAACATAATAGTAACACTCAATATTTAGTATATAATCCCACGACACTTTAAGGGTTAATCCAAAAAATAAATCATTAAAAAAAGCCGTTATAACTTTTTTTTTTAAAATTAATCATCCACATTAATACATTTACATAATATGGAAGATTATATATTAAATAGTTTAATAATTGACGGGGAGAGACGCTGGAAGAGTACTTTTTATATTGATTTCGACCAACCATATTTTAAAATGGGTTATGATTTTTTTTATTATTTCAATGAATGTTTGGTCAACCCAAGCATAAGAGGCGATTTAACATTCCGAATAAATGTGATAAAAAAGGGTTTTTTGGGAAATGTATTTGATACACGACGTTGTAATGAAATTTGCCAAACTTCAGAGAGCAAACAAAAGAATAAAAGCCCACGAGCATGTGACGACATACTATAGTCCCATTGTGAAAGGGGCATACTTCTTCGATGTGGAAGAGTTTGGGGATAAAATACCACTATTAGTACCCCTCACAACATGGGATATGTTAATATGTATAAAGACACTTTACAACGAGGAAATACCCATGATTTTAGAAGAAAAAAATATATTGGCCCAATTATAAATATGATGCACCAGTTATTTGTACATATATTTTCCCAGAAAAGGAATGGTCGGTTGATGATGAAAAGTCATATTATAAAGTACGAGGCCCAGACCGGATGTCCGTGGAATATTTAATTTCTAAATAAAATTAAAATAATGTGAAATAAAAAATTTTAAAAATGGTAATCTCAATAAAAACTTTTTTTTATTCACTATTTTCTTTTTTCTTTGGTAGTGTATTTATATAACAATAGTAATAGTTTATTTGTTTCAAATTTATTTAAAAATATTTTATTTGAAACGCTCGAAGATACGCTAACAGATAATAATAGTAATAATAAATTAATTTTGAAAAACAATATTCAAGATATCAACTTAGTTTGCTCATGTCAAGTACAGCGATAAAGGTAATAGATGAAAAAGAGATTGCCAGGTTAATGGCAATTACACAAGGAACACCAGAGTACTTTAGTGAAAGAAAGAAATCACCCGCATGTGGTAGTGATTTAGCAGCAATGATTGGTGTTAACCCTATAAAACCCCTTTGAAACAAAAACGAATAAGTTTGGGGGAAGAAAAAGATTTTTTTAGTCCACAAGCACAGGTTGCAATGAAGCATGGTCAGCAGTATGAAGATGAAGCAAGAGATTTATTTGCAATTGGAAATGGTGTCAATGTTTCAAAGGTTGGTATTCTGTCGTACAGATGCGATAACAGATTCAAAGCTTCACCAGATGGTGTGATATTCAATAAATCAATTAAAACACCATTATCTATTGAAACGATTGTGGAGATAAAGTGTCCATATCGTGCGTTCAAAGGTAATACCTATAAGGGTGGTAGAACAAAGGAAGATATAGAGCATGCTAAAGCAATACCTGTTTATTATTTACCACAATTGTATGCAAATATGAAATATAGTGGTGCTCAAATTGCATATTATATTTCTTATGTACCCGGTGAATTTATGTGGACCTATAGAATTGTTTTTGATGAGAAAGTATGGGAGTATATATATGAAAAAGCAGTGTATTTTTTAGAGAACAAACCAGAGGGGTTAGTGTTTGCATCATCGAAAACAGAGAGAGATAAAAGAGTCAATGAATTGGTAAAATTGGTTAGGGTTAAAAATAAAGATATAAATATTATTTTAACAAGAAGCGTGGAAAAAAAACAATACCAAAAGAGATATACACCATACAACACAAAAAAAAATGATTTTGCTAGAAAATTTAAATAAAAATTTATTTTAATTTTAGTTAGAATTGTGTATTATTTCGTCAGATAACTTTTAAACATCATGGATTTGCATCCATTATTGCTTAGCAATCTTTTTTTAAATCAAAGTTGAATGTGTCCAAAACCTTCTGAAAGTTTAAAGTCACTTATCGTGAGCTCCAATTCATATACTGTCAGTTTATGAATCCTTTCCCTTTTTTGGGTTTGAATCGTTTGCTGGGGCACCAAGTAATATCGATATTGGTCATTATCAATAACCTCTAAAGACATTTTTGTCTGTGGTTTTGATTCTCTAATTCTTTAGGGTAGCTCCGGAGTGGGCACACAGAATTGCGAATTGCGGGGTTATATTTTGGTGATAAACACTGATGGTAAAAGATTTAGTTAGTTAGTTAGTTATATTTAATTAAAATAAAAAAATAATTAATACCCACAAAACTTTTATTGATTTACCCATGAGTGAAGTATAATTTATATTGTTGAGAAATTATATTTGGGTTTTTGATAATAATAATAGTAATAATATTTATTTTATATTAGCGTGGGCATGATTATAAAAATATAAAATAAAAATTAAAAAAAATTTATCCAAATAAAAAAAAATTAACACTACCCATATAAAAATTTCAAAAAAAAAAAAAAAAAAAAAAAAAAAATTATAAAATTTTAAATCATTTTTTAAATCACAAAATAATATTAATTTTTTTTTTATTCCCATTTTTTTTTTTCAATTTTGGTTTTAATTAATTTTTGTTCTAATTTCGAAGATTGTGTAATTTTTTAATTTCATTTAATTTTTTTTAATAACAAATAATAATAACAATGCCTTTCAAAATAAAAATCATATCAATTAACGACAAAGACTATTTACATTGCTCACACAAATATTTACCTGAAATATATAGAATCCTAACAGACACAGATAATAATCATAAAGCGGATAAAAAAATTTTTGAACAATGTGATATTGTGGTAGCAGAACCCGATGAAAATAATACTTTTGTAAAAGCAATTAGGGGTCGTATTATATTCATTCAATGTGGGAAGGATTTTGAAGAAAATTTGCCAGAATTATTTATCGTGGACGACGAATCGCGTGTTGAATATTTTAAACGATGTTATACTTCAGTCTGTAAAGAAAAGGTTGCGCAATTTGGACAAAAAAATTTTCCAATCACACATAATGACATAACCGCCCACTCTGCAAGTAAAATGAAAGTATTCATTGGTTCCTCATTTGAATTAAGAAAATATGTCGTTAAACAAAACCAATATAAAAATGAGATAGTTAATGCAATAAGAGTTTCGATGGGGATAAAAATACCAACACCAACACGACAACTAAAAAAAAGAAAGGATAGAAAGAAAAAAGAAATTGAAGCGAATTGGGCCCCACAAAAAGGGGATAGGGAAGTAGAACAAGAAAAAGGAATCTCTGATGACGATGAAGAAGAAGAAGATGATGATGATGAATCAGAAAAAGATGATGATGAAGGACAAACATCAAAGAAACATAAACCCAACCCTGACACAACAACAACGACAACAATACAAAGGCCACAATTCCTTCCCCTCAAATTAAATAATAATAGAAAACCAACAGAAGAAATTAAGAGAAAAAAACAAATAATGTACTATGGAAGCGATAATAAGAAAGATCTGGATGAAAAAATATTAAATATTTTTTCATAAAACTTTTTAAATAAAATATAATAGTTGTATAGAGATAAATTTAATAATTTTATAAAATATCTTTTCGAGTGTATTTCTTTTATTAATGTTGTTATTTAATTATTAAAAATTTCAATCGATTCAAAATCAACTTCACCATCGAAATGTTTCATTTTATCATAAACAAAATCCCATAGTTCTGTGTCTTTACCAATAATGTTTTGAATGTTTCACCAATTTCTTCCTTTGTCAATGATTGATTGTCATCATCGTCACTCTCTTCTAATTTCCTTTTTTTACTATTTCTTTTATTGTTTGTTGTATCCCCATCACGGTCCATTTCAATTATTATTTTCCAACACGAATGAATATAATCCACAATCAAATCATTAATAATTTTATCACACATTTTAATTTTTTTTAAAAATTTTATTTATTTATTTATTTATTTATTTATTTATTTATTTATTTATTTAATATAACTAATTAGAAAATTTATTTATCCATACCAATTTTTTTCAAGAAATCATTGGCAGATTGATCCAATGTAACACCCTGTGATTTAGTTGATCTTGATGATTGAGTGGTCCAAATACCCGAACCACTAACAAGCTTAACTACACCTTTCTTGAACCAACCATCACCTGTACCAGGGTTAATTTGAGGGTCCCTGACATCATTGAAGAAAAATGAGGTATCGTCCGGACCAATATTGCCTTGATATTGTTCATATAAATACATCCAATCCATTGTAAACGCAACTGGCGTTGATACCACCGAAAATTTTAACTATGCAAACTAATAATAATAAATAATTTAATTTCATTTTTTGAATATAATAAGTAAGTATTTGTAAATAATAAGATATTTTAATTTGTTTTTAAAATGATTAAAAAATTCTTTTTTATAATTTTTTTAAAAAAAAAAAAAAAATTAAAATAACCACAATTTTTTTTAAATCCCAAAATATGAAAAAAAAAAAAATTATTATTACATATCTTTATTTTCTTTTTTTATTAATATTTGGTTTGGAAAATATGATTGGTGAAATAAAAAATTTGTCAAATAAAAATCTTATTAAATTTAAATTATAAACTTTTTTTTTAAAAAAAAAAAAAAAAAAATTATAATTAAATCATTTTTCCTATTCTTCCAAGATTTTATTTTAAAAATCATTTTTATATTTATTATAATTTAAATTTAATGCTTAGATCATTGAGATTTTCCTACTTTTATATCTTAATTTTTTTATCGGTTATGCAAAAAACCAAATTTTTTTTTTTAAATCAAATAAACCATTAATTAAGATAATAATTTATGATAATTTTTTTAAATGTATGAAAATGTGCTGGGAAAAAAAAAGAAAACAAAAGTATATCACAAAAATTTGTTGTGAGCCATTAAAAATTAACCTATGAAATATAATATTGCATTAATAATCATGACGGTTCATTAATTTTTTTAGTTTTTTTTCAACTACACACCGTTGTACATTTTTTTTTTTTATTGATCAAATTTTTTTTGTACACTTTTGTTTTTACTTCAATGTTTCGACTACTCTTGGTTTGATCCATGGTGTAAATCAACGATTCTCTAGATAGTTACCATCGTTGGCCATTGCTTTCTTTGGTTATAAATTTTTTGATTCAACAAAATAAATCTACAATTGTATCTAACATCTTTATGTAATACTGGCATACCAACATCAACAATAATATCTTTGGTTAATTCTGGATCTTTGCTAAACTTTGCCAACAATTTAACATTGTATCTTGTTCTAAAAAATGATCCTCACACCCATACCCTGGTATTTCTAATTCTGGACCTAATCTATATTTTGCACTATAATAATAAAATTATTAGTTTTTTTTTTTAATTATTTATTTCATTTTTATTTTTTTTCTTACCTTTTGATTTTGAGATTTTAATGGATTCAATAATTCTTTCTAAATTACCTTGAAATCCATAGCCCACTGATTTAAATATCATGTTGCTAATGATTTTAAACAATGAATCCTATATAAATTCATTAAACTATTTATTAGAAGTGGTTTATTAATCAGTTCAATATTGGTATTTTTATTTTTTGGTATAGGAAGAAGACTTTATTCAAAACAAAGTATCGTATTATCAGTGGGTCTATCCATTAAGCTATTGCTTTCATCAGTATTTGTATGGGACTATATCCACTTTACAGAAGGAGTTAAATACGATTATAAAAAAGATTCAATTGCATTTTTAACACTCTTCAACTATTTATCAAGTAAATTACCCCACAACTACCACAACAAAAGAACTTTGGTCTACATTGTTTTTGTAGTTTATAATATCTATGGTTTGGAATACAAGAAAAATTCAAACAAATCTCAACAACTACCAGATGCTTTGAATAATCTCAGAAACAAACTCCAACAACATCCAATTATTTTTTAATGGCAAAAAGATTGTAATCGTCGAAATCATTGCATTGGTTTGGATATTCAGTATGGTTTCATAATTTTACAACACTCATTGGTAGAATCTTATATCAACAATACAGGGAAATCAAAAAAAGTTTTAATTTTATCTCTTTTATCATTAATAGTACTACAGTAATTATCAAAATGATCAATTATAATAATTAAATTAATATTTAACAATCAATTTTAAAGTATAAATAGTTCAATTTAATTATTATCAATTATAAGTTCATTTTTATAATTTATATAGAGTTAATAACATTCTCTATTTATAGTTTATACAATCGATAATCTATTTATTATCTATAAACGATACATATTTGTTAAATAAAGATTTAATTTATTAGACTAAATTATATTTGTCTTAATTTTTTACCACTTTTCTTTTTTTTTTTTTAAAAATATTCCAATTGATACTTTTTTCTATTGACAATGAATTTAAAACTTTTAAAAAAAACATTATTTATTTTTTAAAAATTTATTATTTTTTTTTTTATTTATTTTTTTAAAAATTTAGTATTATTTAAACTCTAGAATACATAAAAAAGTTTAAAGGTTTTTTACTTAAACTCTAAATATTTCTTGTTGTTTTACACTTTGTATATTATTATTTAGGTTAAATAACCCTGATATATGTTAGTGTCTTTAATTTATTTTTTTAAATCAATTGGATAAATTGGTGATATATGAAGTGGGTGAAATTCTATATATTTTATGGTAAAGAAAAAAATATAATTTGGTGAAGATTATAATTTCTCTAAAGATATAAATTAAATAATTTTGTTAAAATAGTTTTTATATTTATTTTTAAATAAAAAAAAAGAAAAAAGAAAATTAAAAGGGGTTAAAAAAAGAAATTTAAGAAAAAAAAGAATTAATCTCTATTTAAAGTTGATTTATAGATATGATTTTAAATGATTTTTTTAACAAGTATCTTCATTTTACCTTTTTTTTTATAAATTATATCTAAAAAAAAATTTAGATTTTTTTTTTTATTTTTTTTTTATTTTATTATAAATGTAATTTGTTTTTTATCTTAAAATAGAATGTTTATTATAAAAATAAAATCTAATATTTTAAAATTTTAATTTTAAAAAAAAAAAATAATTACTTTTTTATTTTTTTTATTGTCATTAGTATTAAAAATATCATGTTTAAAAAATATATTTTATTTTTTTTTATAGTTTACCTATTTGGGTTTATAGAAAGTTTCACCCCCACTTCTTTTTTTTTAAAAAAACCAAGTGTTAAAAATTATAATATTACTCAAGCAGCACCTATAAAATTAGAATATAAATTATTTAATCAAAAAATTGATCATTACAATTTTCAACATGGTAATTTAACTTTTAAGCAAAGGTTTTTCGAATATTCAAATTATTATGATGGAAACGGACCAATATTTTTTGTATTTGGTCCAGAACAAGAACTTAAAGAAGATTACATAAATAATAGGCAATATGAAGAATGGGCTAAAACATTAAATGCATCAATCATATGTTTAGAGCACAGATACTATGGAAAGGTAAATTATGTTTAATATGATTTAAAAAAAAAATTAAAACTAATAAAAAAAAAGAGTATTTTTACAGATCATTTAACCACAGAAAGTTTGCAATATTTAAATAGTGACCAAGCAATTGCAGATGTTGCTTATTTTATAACATGGTATAAAAAAGAAAATAAAATAGACGACGGTAAAAGGTGGGTGGGGTTTGGGGCATCATATGGCGGAACAATAGCTGCACAATTTAAAATAAAATATCCTCATTTAATTGATATAATAGTTTCCTCAAGTGGACCTGTTTCTCCAGAGTTAAATTTTTTTCAATATTTAGAAATTGTTCAAAATACAATTATTTCTGAGGTTCAAGATGGTGAGCGATGTGTAGAAAATATAAGAAATGCAACTCTAGAAATTGAAGAAATAATTAAATTTGGCAACCATAATCTATTAAAAGATAAATTTAGATTGTGTGCCCCACTTGAAAATGAAAAAGATTTTTCTTTATTGGAGTTTACAAACTCATTGGTGTTTATGGATACTGTTCAATACTATGACAGTAACAAAGATAAATTACAAAAGATTTGTAATATACTAAATAATGAATTTAAAAGTAGTTTAGATAATTATATTCAAATATGGTTAGAGGTGTCATACCCCAATGTAAAATGTATCAATGTAAATTATAAGAATCATATTGAAATATGGAAAGAAAGAAATGTAGACCACCAATCAAAAGCATGGCTGTACCAAACCTGCACAGAATATGGCTATTTTATGACAACTGAAAGTAAAAACCAACCATTTGGATCACTATTAAATTTACAATTTTATACCGATATGTGCCAAGATATATTTGGCATAAGAAATATGATACCTAACACAAAATGGGCAAATGATCAATATGGTGGTTTCAAAATCAATTCAGAGTCAATTAAATCAATACTTTATATCAATAGCAGTCTCGATCCATGGTATCCGTTATCATTTACACCCAATATGGAAAAAAATGGGATCAATACATTATTCATAAAAGGTCATTCCCATTGCAGCGATATTTACAAGAGTAGCAATACATCATCTAATGAAATTAAAAATGCGCATAATTCAATCTTTAATTTTATTCAAAACAATTTAGATAAATAAAAAAATATCTTTATTTAGAAACTGCAAAATTTGTTTTTTTGAAAGTTAGCATAAAACTAAACAAGATTTGTTTGAAATTTATTTATTAATATTTTTTTCATTTTTTTCTTTTATTTTTTTTTAATTTTCTTAATTTTTTATTTTTTATTATTTTTTTATTAATTTTTTTTTTTATTTTTTTTTTTATTTTAAAAAACGAATAAATTTTTTTTTTTTATATTTCCACAATTAATTTATAAATAATTTTTATCTATATATAAATTAAAAAGAAAAAAAAAAAAAGAAATGTCAGAAGAAATTAGCAATTTAGTTTCACAAACTAAAATTGAAGACAATAAAGAAAATCCAGAAGAATTCAAAGATATTTCACACGATAATGAAGTAACAGAAGTTGAAAGTTTATGTATGCATTGCGAATATGAAAAGGGTATCACAAGAATTCTTTTAACCAAAGTACCATTCTTTAAAGAAATTATGGTTTTCGCCTTCCAATGCCCAGAATGTGGATTCAGAAACAGTGAAGTAAGAAGTGGTGGATCATACGAACTAAAAGGTGTTCGTATCGAATTAACCGTTAATAACGAACGTGATTTAAATAGACAAATTGTTAAAATGGAAAAAGCCATTATCTCAATTCCATCATTAGATTTCGAAATCCCACCATCCAACAATGGTACTTTAAATACTATTGAAGGTATCCTCAAAGAATCAATTAACAATATCACCCAAGCTGCTGAAATTCACGTATGTATATCACCATTTTTTTATAGTAGTAAATACTCTAATTAATATTCTAATGTTTATACTCTTTATATACAGACTGAAAATAAAGAAAAATTATTAGAATTTGTAGGTAAATTAACAAATTTATTATTAGTAAATGAACCATTTAAATTTATTATTGATGATCCAAGTGGTAATAGTTTCATTGAAAACCCAACAGCACCAAAAGCAGATCCAAATTTAAAGACAACTCATTACACTCGTACTGAAGAACAAAATCTTGAATTAGGTTTACAAGCAAACCCAGAAAAAAAAGCAACTATTATAAATGTACCATCAACCGATTTAGAAGATCGTGAAGTATTTTCATTACCAAATGAATGCTCATTCTGTGGTAAATTAGGTGAATGTAAAATGGTACTCACCGATATCCCATACTTTAAGCAAGTGTTATTAATGGCATTCACTTGTGACCAATGTGGTTATAAGACTAACGAAATTAAACCAGCTGGTTCAATCTCCGAAAAAGGTAAAACCATCACCCTTCGTGTCGAATCAATTGAAGATTTATCACGTGATGTTTTAAAGAGTGATACTGCCAGTGCCCAACTCCCAGAACTCGAAATTGAAGTCACTCACGGTTCATTAGGTGGTAAATTCACAACTATTGAAGGTCTTTTAACCATCATTAAAGAAGAATTGGAAAAGAATCCATTCTTCCGTGGTGATTCATCCGATCCAGAATCTGTTAAACGTTATAACGAAATCTCAACCACAATGGAAGAGTACATCGCAGGTAAAAAACCATTCACTATAATCATCGACGATCCAGTCTCAAATAGTTATATTCAAAATCTTTATGCTCCAGATCCAGATCCACAACTTACCATCGTAGAATACGAACGTAGTTATGATCAAAATGATGAATTAGGTTTAAATGAAATGAACACTGAAAATTATTTAAATGAAAAGAAAGAAGGTGAAGAAAAAAAAGAAGGTGAAGAAAAGAAAGAAGAAAAAGAAGAAACTAAATAACATTTAAATATTATTATTAAATAATATAAAAACAATTATAATAGTAATATATCAGTAAATTTAGTTCAATAATAAAAATTTATTATTTTTATTAGTTCCCAAAAAAAAAAAACAAATAAAATTTTTTTTATTTTTTTTTTTAAATAAAATTTTTTTAAAAACTATAAAACTATAAAATATTTATTTAAAATGATTATAGAAAAAAACGAATGGTGTTGTTATCTATTTTTTAAGTTTCGACAATGTATTGATATTCATTTGGTGATTTTATACTCTTTAGCCATTTAGAACCAGTTTTTTCTGCTAAATATTTCGAAAAACCATATGAGTTTATATTTTCAAAATTATTTGATGGATCTGTATATTCTAGGTATAGGTCTTTTGCTGTTTTAAGATATTTTTGAAAAAGAATATCATCTTCTTTCCATTTACCTATTTATGAGATAAAAAAAATAAAAAAGTATTGGGTTAATTTTAAAGACGAACAAGTTAAAATGATAAATTATAGTTACCAATTAGAACGGATGCTTTATGTTTATCTGAGTAGTGGATTTTGTAATAAGCATCAAACTCTACCTTCTTTTCGGTAAGTTTGGGACGTCTTAAATGAAATTCATATCCTACTGGTTGTTCTATATTACTAGTTTCACCAAAAACATCTACTAAAATTGAAAAGTGAATCAAAGAACAATTTGAAAAATCTAATGAGCCAATATCAGTATTAGGATCTGAATAAACATTCTTTTATTAATTAAAAAAAAAAAATAATATTAATATTATTTTATTTTATTTTTTAATATATTTAAACATTACCAAATACACATCTCCTTGTTTATTTTGATTCAATACTTTTGAAATAGATTTGTTTGTTCTATTATCTTCGTAATCAAAATTTTTACCCATTTTTTTTATTATTTTTTTTTTATTACAGGTATTATAAGTTTAATATTTAACTTTTTTTATTTATTTATTAGTTGGTTTTTTGAAAATAATACGATATGTTTTTAAAATTACATTTAACTTGTTAAGAAATAAAATTTTTTTATTTTTTTTGAAAATAGAAAAAATTAAAATAATGGTTTTTTTTTGAAAAAAAGTTTTTATTATAATTTTTATTTATTTATTTTATTTTATTATTTTAAAATAAAATAAAATAAAATTTCCCAATTGGTTAACTGATTAATTAGTTATTATATAAATTCGTATATTAAAGTAATCAAATATAAATTTTTTTTATAAAATAGATAATGATAAATTTTGAAATATTTTTTTTTAAAATTCTATATAACCATTTTTTTCATTTTCATTTTGAATTGGTTTTTTTTTAAAATATAGGCTGTAGATATATTTGGTTAAAAAAACTAAACATACTATGGTAATTATTATTATAATTGGTAAAAAAATAAATAGGGATTTTGAATTTATACTTTTTAAAATATTTGAATTTGATGGTAGATGATATATATGTAATAATGAACTATTTGTTGATATAATTATACTATTTGATTCTGGACTGTAGGTGCTACTTGTACTGATACAATCATTGATATAGTCAATATCTTTGGGAGTATTGCTGATTTCTGTTAAATCGAATAATAAAATATCATGCCCAAATGCATATAAACCATATTTTATTAAATCTGAAGAAGCGGTATAGGCTTGTCCAAAATATGTTTCTCTGTTACGATATATCGAGTTGCCATTTGTATTTGATGAAGAACTTGTAATATCCTTGAATGTAAAGGAGACTAAATGATAAGGATAATTTAAAGTACCTTCTAAAAAAGTAAATGAATTAATTGGGCCTAGTAATAGAGCATCTATACTAGAACCATAATAAAAAGTATGCTTATTTGTTTGTTTTAGGGAATTTAAATTTATTTCATACAGCATTCCGTAGGTTGATACACATCCCAATAAAAGTAAATTTCTATCTAAATTTAAAACACTGGAACTTGGTATTATACATTCTGATGGTAATAATTGCTTTTTAATTATTTTTAATTTAGCTTGGTCTTTATTTAAATAATTTATTTCAATTTTAATTTTGATTATATTATTGGTAGTGATTAATATTATTTGATTATTATTATCAATTGTTAGTGAATTATCAATAAAAGGTAACATTTCATTATAAATCTATAAAAAATATATTTATTTTTTAAATTAATTTAATTGTTTTTTTTATGTGGAGTTGGGGTGTGTATTTGTTGTGTTTAATAAAATAAACTTACAAAAAAGGAATTTATATAGTTTAAATTTAAAGAATTAAAAACTGATATTTGAATGGAAGTATAATTTGTTTGAGTTGCTAAATAAAATATATTATTAACTTCATCAAAAAAACCACTACTCTTTTGATTTAAATAAAACAAACTTTTGAAATTTCTTTTTACTTCAATTTCCCTACTATTGACTTGCATTTTATATAGATTTCCTTCAAATGATGAAAATATAACATAATTATTTGAATTGGTTTTATAAATTATATTTCCCTTTGACTCAACGTCGTCATATTCATCAATTTTAATCAGCTCTTTTATAAGTTCGCATTTTATTAATTTTAATAATAAAAATCCTAATAATATTACCGTCAATATT